ATATAGAGAAAACGAATTTCACGTTGAAAATCTTTTAATCTTTAATGAAAGCTTGTTCAGCTTGTTCATCAAAATCGTTGAAGAATTACGGCTGAATTGATAGTTGGGATTAAACCGTTATAAAACCAAGGGTGGTGAACAACTTTAATCGTTATATCTTTCCGATAGAAACGAGGCGTGGCTCGGTTAAAATTATTGAAGTAGATAAAAAAAAAAAAAAAAAAAAAGGAAAGAAAAAACAGATAAATGAAAAGAAGAGAACATATTATCGATGTTTTCCTATTGGAGAAGAAATTCAAGTTGTTTTAATTAAGGATCATCTCACATTATTCGATCGATATCATTTCATTTGAATAATTAAAATATTTAGTTGTAAAAAAAAAAAAAAAACTAAACAAAAAAAGAAAATATAATAATAAAAATCATTAGATTAAATGTTAAGCAAAAAACACAAATATCACATCGACGAGCGAAGTAATATAATTCTTCTATTTGAATTGATAATTGATAGATAAAAAAAAAAGACACGAGAGAAACCTTGCGATTAAATCAATCTCAAGGAAAAAAAAAAAAAAAAGTAAAAATGGTATCCATCGTTCGGAAGGTCGTAGAAGCCTGGAGGTTGAAAAATCCCAGAGAATAATGATGAACGTGAAGGACGTGAAGTATTACAAAGGGAACTCTCGAAATTGCAAGGAATCTCATAGAAAAACGACTCGTTAAAAGGGGTGAAAATTTTCGAAAGCAACGAAATTGACAAGCATTCCTTTCTCTCATTTTCTTTTTATTTTTGTATTTTTTTGTAGCTTACCTTTAACGAAAAAGAAATAAAATGAAAGAGAGAGAGAGAGAGAGAGAGAGAGAAAGGAATCCTGTCTTTGGTGAATTTTTCAACGCCTACCTTAACGTATTCCATTGAGAAAGAGGAAGGCTCACAGGATTCGCTTTCCTGAGCGGTTGGGACCCTCGGAGGGTCAGGCCAGGGTTCTGTGTCCCTTTGTCGTTCCCTTTTCAATGCTCTGTGCTACCTCTGCTTTCGTTTCGGTGTATGCCCAAGGCAGCTGCCATCTCTCTTTCTTCTCTTTTGGCTACACCAACTGTGTTTGCGTATATATATATATGCATTTGTGTGTGTGTGAGAGAGAGAGAGAGAGAAAGAGAGAAAGGGAAAGAGACGCTTTTCAAAGTCTCTTTTCTACCCCTCTTGTCCTTACTCTCCATCATCCCTGCCTGCTTCATCTGCACGTTAACGATCACTAGCTCACGTTATATTTCTTTCTTTCTCTTTTTGGTCTGTGTTAGTCTCTTGGATGCGAAGCATGTCGAAAACCGAGGGTTCAAAATCCCCCTGAGAGATTATTTTCCCTTTCTGCCATCACTTTTTCCTTTCTCTCTCTCTCTCTCTCTCTCTCTCTTTCTCTTTACCTTTAGCTTTACCCTCTTCTACCTTTCTTCTTCTACTCTCTTGTTTTCTTCCCTAATTTGTAACTATACATTATTTCTCTGATCATTTTTCTCTTTGACGTTCTATTCAACGTTATTATTTGAAGAACACATTTATAATTGTTTTTAGATTTTGATGTTAGAGATACATAGACACAATAGAAAAGTTTTAGAATATTTTAGAAATATTCTTGGTATTTCTTTTTTTTTTTTTTTTTATGAAAAAAATGTTTATTCAACTCTTGCGTTTTATTTGACGTAAATTGAACCTTTTTGTACCTTTTGCTTTTTTTATTCTTTTTTTTTTTAATATATCACAATAAAAGATAAAATTGTAAGGAATAACTTTGAAAAGAGTCAATAGGAAATTTTGTAAGAAATTTTTCTTCGTTCCTTTACAATTTGACATTACAAAAATAACTTAGTTCAGATAATTTGAAAGATATTCGTATCTATCTGTATACAAGATTAAATTTTATCGTTTTTTTCCTAATACTGACAAACCATTGTGTAATGTATTTGTATGTATGTTGTATTCGAAGAAGGGAACACACACATACACACGTAATATACAATCCTCCTATACACAACAAAATTTAAATACATTCTTAACTGAATACGTCACTAGTTAATGCAATTTCTAATTTTAATATTTTGGACAATTTAAACAATTTATGTAATTTAATGTAATATTGTTTAGAGGTCATTTAATGCGTTGCAATAAAATTATTGTTATTTTTAAATAAAAATAACAAAATGATAGAATTGAACAAATTTTGAATCATTTTAAAAATAACTAACATTTCTATCTACAATCATAAAATAAATAAATTTGATCACAATATATTTCTAATTAAATTACTCAAATTATGAAATATATATTAACAAATAACGTAAATATTCGTAAAATTTTTTATTACTTTATAGTTTCTTAGAAAACTACGATAGAAATGAAGCGTGTTATAATAGGAGGGTTGTAATACTACGGTAGAAAGGTAGTTTCAAAGTATATATATATATATATACACAGTTTAGGTATATCGCAGGTACAAAGGTACAAAGGTACAAAGGTATAAAGACCAGGAAGAAGAACGAAGGACGATGAATTATAGAGACTGAGTTATAGCACAGCCAGTAGAGAGTATACATATACGTATACACACACACACACACACATACACAGAGATCTATATATGTGTATATACCCAAGGTACGGGTGCTATACTTCCTATAGCACGGATCGATATCCACTCCGCAAGCTTGGAAGTGGAAAGTACGCAACCGAAAATCGATAAGGTTTATACATTATCGATAAGCTTTTTCTACGAAAACTTAGAAACCTTTCAGGCACGAGAATATATATATATATATATATCACTTTTCGAATCGATTTCTTGAAAAATAATACTTTAATACTGGAAATAATCATTCTTTTTATTTACAATGACTTTAACTTATCGTTAAACAGTTTTCTTTCCTTATCGTTCTTTATCGTTTAAGAGATTTTATACGTGTGTAAATATTTATGATATATATTCATATTATTTAATTTAGAATTACAATGACATATCATTGATTAATTCTAATTATTTTCATTGACCATGTAGTGTGTATTTAAGATTAATATTTAATTTTTATATTCTTTTTGTTTTTGTTAAATCTAAGATAAATCAAAATTCGTATATAACAATGATAGTATATAAAAATATATTATAATATAATTTATATATATAATATATATATATATATATATAATAGAATATAATAAATATATTATAATCTTCTATAACGCTATTGTTTTATTTCATTTCATGATCATCAAAAAAATATTGTTTTATATCAAAACTTTTATAATATCCTTCAAAATATACATTTTCTGATTACTGTAATACAATTATATTAATACAAATTTATATTACATAATATTTCAGTATAACATTACAGAAAATTAAAACATATTGAAAAAAGTAAATACACACAAGAGAGACATAGATTAACAAATGAGACAGAAAGAAACAAACATCCAAAGAGCATTGTCCGTAAGAATCACAACATGTATTACGTGTATTGTGCATTTCACGGCCGATACATATATTCCACGCGCCACACATTCACATATACAAAACACACACTCACACACATAGAAGGTACACGCACGTGCGAATCCATCGCATAAAATACGTGAGAACATTCCAAAAGAGAAAGAGAGATAGAAAGATAGAGAGAAAACATATTCATACGTAACACTAATATATATATATATATATATAGCACATCATAGAGAGAAAGAGAAAGAGAAAGAGAGAGAGAAGAACGCAACCAGACCCAAGTCCAATGTATATACATATATGCGTACGCACGATGTACACACCATTGACCGTGATATCGTCTGTCTCGGGATGAATGAACTGTTACGTCACGAACTTGTATTCCATGGTTCCTTCCGCCACCACCACCACCACCCTCTTCCTCCTGCTCCTCTTCCTTTTCCTCTCATCTCATACTCTCTCTCTCTCTTTCTCTCTCTTTGTATTCTCCCACCCGCCACCCCACACACAACGTACGGTCCTCCACTTTCGTCTCCGTCAATTCTCTTTTCCCCTGACCTCCCTTGCTCCCGTTACATTACTCCTATATATATATTATTATGTGTGTGTGTGTGTGTTTATACCTGCTGTTCTTGCTTGCTTGGTGCAGTTGCTGTTACTTGCTTGGTTGCTTGTTTACTGTCCTCCCTTCTACCATCGATTAGCAATGGAATTCCATTTGCGGGACGGAACTAGGGAGATGCAAGCGCGAATCTTGAAGGGTGGTGGGAGGTAGAGAACACATACACCAGAGACGCAAGTCCTATAGTTTTCAAAAGAGGTCAACGTCTCTCTTTTTCTTTCTCTGTCTCTCTCATGTACTAACTCAGACAGCCGCCAGACACTACGACGTGTTGGCTATAAAATACCAACGTAGGACGGCAAGGTCGTTACGGGATAAACGTTACTATCCTTACCGTTTCTTCTGTTGTTACACTGATACACTTTTCTTTCTTTTATCCTTTCATCCTTTCTTTTTTCTTYTCTTTCTTTCCTTTCGTATCATTTCTTTTCTTTTCTTCTAATTCAATGAACTGAATTTACGTATACCTCTCCACACATACACACACATTTGATCAGTTTATTTATATTTATATAAGAGTTAAATCATCGAGATATCATAAATCAAGTATTTACTCACTTATTTTACGAGTTAAATTTTATTTTATTTTATTTTCTTTCATATTTTCAAGTATGTTTACTTGAACGTAATAAATTGTTATCTTTTTATTTATTGACCATTATTAACATTAGAAAGCATTGAAAATAGTTTGAAGTTTTAATTTGATTTTGTGTTTCAAATAATTATATAAACATTATCTATAAATAATTTATATTTTTATAAATGCTTTTTATCGTTATTTATAATATATATGTATAAAAGAAAATCACCTGACTTATATAAGATATAGAATATTATTCTTTTAATGTGTATATGTTTATATTTATATGCTTTCTTGTTTTTATCGTGAAATATTTGGATTATTTTTAGTGGTACTATTTGATAGCTAAAAAAACAAATTGAAATACTTATTAGTTCATAATAAAAATAATTAAAAGATCATAAAACATATAATTTATTTGACACTTAATTAGTTATGTTAGTTATTATTTAATTATTCGTTTCCTACCTGCCTCTTATCCTTCTAATATCGTTTCTCTAGGTTCTCTTCCACTTTCTTTCAAGTTAGGATATAATTTAGCCTTAGAACCTTCGCTATTAATTCGGCCATGAAAATCTGGTTTCTTTTCCTTCGGTGTACTTCGTTGAAACCAGATATCTAACAAAGTCTTAGGTGTATGATGATTTCCTTTGTGAAGTTGTTTTCCAACGGATATTGATGTACTTGCTGGTGGTGACATAGGTGAATCTGTTGTTGCTCTGATCACACTTGCTCGTGCAGTTCCATCTTCTTTTCCAAAGCTTTACATAAATTCAAATTAAATTTAATAATGTTTTTTTTTATAAGATTTTGTAAAACTATAACAAAGTATTATGAAAAAAAAAAAAATGATAATTTACCCATCCAATTCGCGTAAAGCTTGATCCAATTCAACTTTATCTTTATCGTTTTTACTCTTTACTTCCAACAAACAATTTAAAACTTCCGTATGAGCAGCAGAATTGTTTGCATGATGCTTGAGAAACGTTTCTAACTCAATCCATAATAAACGATATTGTTCTTCACGACGAGCAACACCTTTACCAATTCTTGCACTGCCTATATTAGGCATCGAAATTACTTCATGTTTCGTTTCGTGTTGAAGTATATTAAAGATTATTTGTTTGCATTGCAAAACTTCGTCCTGCGTTATTTCATTTTTTATCATTATTTCTGGTAAAGTTTCGATTAACTGAAAAGTAATGTACATTTCAATAAAAATTTATTTCACTATTTTATAGAAAATAATATGATTATTTACCGGTCTGACGTTGTATATGAGAGTACTAGAAATTGTAATTGGCCAATATTTTGTATGACGTTCTAATCTTGGTCTCATTCTTTCCACTGGTCCTTCTAAAGTACCACTTGTACTACGTTTTAAAGGCACTAACATATTGTTTCTCATAAGAGATCCAAAATCCTATGTGATAAAATAAAATGAATATATCGAAAAGGAAAACTGAAGAAAAATATTCTTTTTACTTACAGTTATTCTATAATCCGTAATACGGCCACCACAACCTTCGCTGATAGAAGGTGGATCTTCAAGAACACTTCTTGATGTGGATAATGTATGGATGAAAATTTCACCGCCATGGGCAGCAAGTAAATGAGATATCGTTTTACCACCGCTTTTTCTTGCCATTTCTAACATTACAGATCTACCGTTTAAAAGAAAATTAATTAGGCAAGAAGATGGTCTACTATTTACATCTACAGGAGTAATCCTGTGCATCGCAGTGCAATTTTGCATTTCTGATGCGCTACAGCCTCGAGGTGTACACCATTTTAAAGTAACCGTTTCGTATTCTGAACCTTCTTCGAATCTTCTAAATGTTTTTAGTAATGTTGTATCTTGTGGATTACCTATAATAAAAAAAATATACAAATGTATATTATTATTACATAAATTCTAATAATTAATTACATACCTTTCAAGATTGCAGAATGAGCAGCAGAGGCATGAAATATTTCAACGTCATAGTTTGCAGAAGAGCTGGCATTTTGTTCTTCCTTCATTGGTATTCCAGTTACAGTTGTACTGGCTAAGTCATAATGTGATAAAATAAGATGTGATAACTTTGAATGTAATGCAGGTGCTTTTATAGAATGAACCTCTACCGTCAAAAGTGGAGAAACCTTTGGCATAAAAATTGAAAATAAAAATGAAAATGAAAAATACTCTTATCATAAATACAAGAAAATAATAAATACCTCTCGTGGACCTTGGCTTGTGACTTGAGATTCAATGTTATTAGGACATATATTCAATATAACTAAATGACAATAGTCTATTGGCATTAAACTGCAAAAAAAAATCAAAAAGATAAGTCATGTATAAATTATAATAAAGATATTCTCTAATAAATACTTACTGATCCGAAGCTAGAGCAGTTTTATTCTCTTGAGTTAATTCATTTAAAAATATATTTTCTAAACTTTTCATATTATTATTATCCCGTGCACTGGTTATACAAATCACTCTACCCCTATTCAAAAGTTTACTGGTATTTACATTCAAAGAAGTTCTCTTTTCATGCTGAATCTCTGAACATTCATTGAGCGTTTCGATAGCTACTCTCAGGCCATGTATCACTGAGTAATCTTCTCCTGGTTCTGGATTTTTTGTTGGTACGCCAAGAATGGCAGTACCATTCATTATCTAAAATTAAATAAACTTTAGAAAAATCTAACCGTATTACAAGATAATTATTTTAAACTAATACTTACATGGGTTAAATTTTGTTGAAGTGGACTCCATGAGTTTAGTACGTAAGCTGCACGGTCAGTCACAACGTATCTGATCTATAAGAGCAAATATAAATTAACAACATGTTTCATGAATTATACTCTCTTAGTGACATTAACACATATAGAATTTACCTACCAATTTTCCAGTTGGAAATAAGTCCCAAACAATGCGACAATATTCAAGGGATGCTTCAACACTTGTAGTCCATAAGGATTTACAAACAGGAGCTAATGGTATTAAATTTTGTCCACGACTCTTTAAAAAGTCAAATTCTAATGGGCACTCAGAAGATATACCAAAGTAAGGTGTATGATCCAATACGAAGATAGTTTTATGATTTGCTGGATACATTCTACCATAATATTTTTCAATACACACTTAACATTACAAATTTGTTTCTCTTATTGTTATGTCAACCTATATAGGTTAGGTTTTATTACTGTATGTACTACTGTTCATAAATTATCTTTTATATATAAATATGTATTTATATTTATATTTTTATGCACACACACATACACATATTAATTTATATTTTTAAATAAATACTCTTGAAATATATATTTATGCATATATGGATATATATACAAATCAATTATTATTATTATATGCTAGATATTTATGAATAAATCACTTTTAGCGAGAACTAGAAACATTAATATATTTTCAATTTCAAATAACAAAAAAACTAATAAGCTTTCTAGTATTAGTTTAAAAATCGAATAAATAATGTATCGTTATCAAATTTCTAAAATAATGTTAGAATTCCCGCGCAGAATCATCAACAGAATTGATACTGATACTCATAAGTAGAGGTTAGAGAAACGATAGGGATTACGATTAAACTTTGTCAAGTTTTAATTTTAGGTTAAGAACAGTTTGAACTAATATGTCATCTGCATTATAAACGTGTTTCATAAATTATTAAATTTTTTGTAAAAATATTATACGTGTAACCGATATGATAAAAAATAAAATAAATATAATATAACTTGTAATCTCTCATTAAATATTAAATACGAAGCCTTAAGATGAAAATAAAAATGGCGTATTTCGTTGTGCGATTATCAGCTGATTGTAAGGTTTTGAAGTATTTTTTACTATGTGACGTATAAAAACAGTGCATTCGTTGGCATAAGTGAATCGATGAATATATACGATGGCTTTAACAACGAGATTATCTTTAAAAACAATACGTTTACCATATCATTATCATAATTTATTTATTGTAACATTATTTTTGTTTACATTGATTATTATATTAATAGCAGCATATCATGCTTTTAAATATGGTGATGCTCCACAAAATTCAATTTACAATGCTATTGTTTTAAGCAACATTAATACGCTACCTACTGAAGTTTTAAATGCGGATTCTCCAGCAGCTGATATTACAAATTCTTCATGTACATATTTCAATTGTTTTAATGTATATCGTTGCGGTAGTAGAGGTAATAAACCTTTAGTATACGTATACCCACCTAAAATATATTTGGATGGACTACATAAACCAATAACTAGTCAAATGACTAAAGAATTTTATCAAATTTTAAATGCTCTTGTGTCAAGTAAGTTTTACACTTCTAATCCTCATGAAGCATGTATATTTATTCCCTCCATTGATACTCTCAATCAGAATAGATTAAAATTACAAGAAGTATCACAGGCATTGAAAACATTACCCTTGTAAGTATTTCATCAATTTCAAAAAAGATAATATATTTTAAACATATATCATATTTACAAATACATAATTGCAGTATTTTTATCTTATGACAATAGTTGGAACGGTGGAGAAAATCATTTGATATTCAATATGGTACCAGGAAGCGTTCCAGATTTTAATACAGTCCTTGATGTATCTGTTGGTAAAGCTATGATTGCTGGAGCTGGATTATCAACATTAACTTATAGATCTGGATTCGATATCAGTTTACCTGTTTATAGTCCATTTTTAGATAATTTTAATAGAAACAATAACATTAAAAGGTAGTATTGATATTTATTAGTAGATATTTAGAAAGAATAAAGTTTAATCATTGCATTTATCTTTTTTAGAACATGGTTACTTATGTCCTCTCAAATTAATATCAATTCTATTTTTGAACAAGATTTAATGGAACTTAAAAGTTCTTTTCCCAAAGAAATATTATTACTCGGACCATGTTTACAATATAATCCCATGAACAATACTGTACGTTGTTCTGGAAAAGATGTTTATAAGTATCCTACTGTATTACAGGTATGCAATACTTTTAACACAGTTTTTTTTTTATAAAATAGTAATATTTAAATAAAATAAAATATTCTTACTTTATTTTCGTTTTTTAGACTGCTACATTTTGTTTTGTAATACGCGGAGCAAGACTAGGACAAAGTGTTTTATTAGAAGCTATGGCAACTGGTTGTATACCAGTAATCGTTGCAGATTCACTAGTTATGCCATTTTATGGAACAATTGATTGGACAAGGTTCAATATTTATAATAACAAATATTATATTTATCAACTTGTTCAATTGTATACAAATTATTGTGGTGGTAACTTTGTAGAGCAGCAATATTTGTACGTGAGATAGATGTATTACAAGTAATATCAATATTAAAGAAAATATCTCAACAAAGAATCGTAGAATTACGAGAGCAAGGTACATGGCTGTATAAAAGATATTTTAAGTCGATGCAAAAAATAACTGATACAACCTTGGAGATATTAGCAGATCGTGTATTTTCAAATATTGCGAGGAATTATGTATATTGGAATGTACCTCCTTATAAGGTAAATTATCAAAAATGTTATATATTTCTAAGCCAAAAAGTATATGAAAAAACGAATTTTATGTTTTATTTTTATAAATAGGATAATATGTCTCCACTTTTTTTACCATTGACTGCACCCAAGACAAGAGGATTCACAGCTGTTATATTAACTTATGACAGGCTAGAATTATTGTTTCTTTTAATCAATAAAATTGTCAAAGTGCCAAGTTTATCCAAAGTCTTAGTTATTTGGAACAATCAACAAAAAGATCCACCTCATTGTACGTATATGAGAAGTAGTATTCAAATAAATATTAATCATTTAATAATCATTGTATTTATATTGATCATTTTAATATATTACAGCTTCAAGATGGCCAAAATTAACTAAACCATTAAAAGTTATTCAAACTAAAGAAAATAAATTATCAAACAGATTTTATCCGTATGACGAAATAGAAACAGAAGCAGTACTTTCTATAGATGATGATATTATTATGTTAACAACTGATGAAGTAGAATTTGCTTACGAAGTATAATTAATTATTATTGAACTGTTAAATTATATTTTGAGGAATAGTTTCATTAACTTCAATGATGTTTTTAGGTTTGGAGAGAATTTCCAGATAGGATAGTTGGATTTCCATCTCGTATTCACATGTGGGATAACACTACTAATTGTTGGAAATATGAGAGTGAATGGACCAATAGTATTTCTATGGTTTTAACTGGTGCTGCCTTCCATCATAAGGTATATTTTATTATTAATTATTTTTCAAATAGACAAATTCAATCCATGATTAACCAATTCCATAATCATACCTGTTTACATCAAATTTTGTAGGCATGAGTAATGTTCGACAATTAAACCTTATGTCCTTTCGTAAATACCTTTACCTAAACTTCACTTCCTTTACCTGTTCAAGGAGACACACAAATAAGTATACATTATTTCTTATTTCTTATGTTAATTATTATTTATTTTAAAACAAAATAATCATTATTTTTACTGCAGTATTGGAATTATATGTATACAACTGCTATGCCAGGTGACATTAAAGAATGGGTAGATGAACATATGAATTGTGAAGATATAGCCATGAATTTTTTGGTCGCAAATACTACAGGAAAAGCACCAATAAAGGTAACTTTTGTTATTATTAATCATTACAAGAATAATAATTAAAGTCTTAATATTTTTAAATAAACTTTTTTATAGGTAACACCAAAAAAGAAGTTTCGGTGTCCAGAGTGTACAAATACTGAAATGCTGTCTGCAGATTTAACGCATATGGTTGAACGTACACAATGTATTAACAAATTTTCATCCATTTATGGAACTATGCCGTTAAAATCCATTGAGTTTCGTGCTGATCCAGTACTTTTCAAAGATGTATTTCCCGAAAAATTGAAAAGATTTAATGACATTGGAAGTTTATAATATCTTATAAGTATAATTAATTAGACTTGATAATCATTTCATAGAAAAAAATGATGACATCTTGTCAAAAGAGTTTTAAATAATTATTAAGTAATTAATTTCGTAATTTCGAAGAATTATCATTCTAATTCTTCTATATTTTTAAATTAATTGACAGTTTCAAAATAGCAATAAATGTATACGTTGTTATACCATATTGTAAAATATTAACATTTTTGTAAAAAGTTCGTTATAATAGAGTATATAATTTTATATCGTATAATGATAATAATTTCAAAACCTAATCCTTTGATAATAATTTATTAAAAAATTATTATATATTATTTTTTATGGATTTGAAATATTTTTACAACATTTTTCCAACTATATATAGTAAGTCGGGGGAATGTGCCACAGCTAAGGAAAAAATCAATCTAAAAAGTACATAAATAAATTTAATGAAACTTAAATACGTGGATTTAATAAACATTGCCTCTATTTATTATATGCACAATAACATTTGTCTAAATATTTATTTATTTATTAATTAATAACAATAAATTAGTGCGTGTTGAAAGTGGCATATTCCCCACATGTAGGGGTAATATGCCACTTAATCAAAAAAGAACTTAATTTCATATAAATATCACAAATAACTCGTAATTTAATACTTTTACAGTATAACAAATATAATTTCGATTAACTACATTAATGTTAAGGTATGGCTGATAAATAAGACAACGCAGAGTTAATATTAAAAGTAAGATTTATTATAAGAAACGGTGGAAAAGGAAGAACTGTTGAACAAGCCTAGAGCTAGACCGGATACAGGTCTATGTATACAATAATAGGAAGGGCGTACCAGCGCCCTCTACTAAGGGACTGTGGGGCCCATAGGAGAAGTAGGGGTAAAGAGTAGGGGTGGCGGAGTGAGAAGACATAACGTCTCTTATATACGCTATTCTTAACACTCCCTCTCGGTATGTCTCGATAGTCCACAACATCTAGTTAATAGACTCTTTAAATGATTTAAACCATACAATATATTCAACAACATCTTTAAGTGATCAAAATCGCAAATAGATTAAACAAAATCTATGAGCAAATAACTTGTCATACTTGTTTATATTGAACTTATACAAAACAAATTTAATCTAACTTGGACAAATAAAATAACACAATAATAAAAACTCAATACATTAATTAGAGACACCACATTTATTATTTCATACAATAACGTATCGTCTATATCTGTCTTATCTACATGTTTTTTTTTATTTTCAAGGATATTCTTTTTTTGTTCAACACAAATATATACGTATTTCTACAATCTTTGACGATATACACAAAAATCGCTTCCGCCGAACGGTCTTTGTAGATGAACGAACATAAATTTTGATAAAAATTAGAATAAATTATTTAAGAAAAAAAAAAAAAATCAATTTACAATTTCAGCAATTGCAGTTAAAAATTGTACAAATTTTCTTTTACAATAATATATATGTATGTATATGTATATATTTATAGATAAAAAATTAAAAAAACAAACAGAAAGAAATTAGAAGTCTTAGGTAAAACTGAAATATTATTATTATTACTCTTTCATTGACGTTCATTATCGTAGATACATAATTAATTATTGTCACAATAAGTGTGTGTAAAACAAATAAACAAACAAAATGATCAATTGAATAAATAAATATTCAAGCTCAGTCGGTAATTATTCGATGCGTTTCGAGTGACTTCCATTTGAATTTTCTCTCTCTTTCTTTTTTTTTTTTATCTTTCAATACTTTACAGATCCTCTCTTTCTCTCTCTTTCTATATTTATATATATATATATTTTTTCTATTTCTCTTAAAAATACTTAATTAAATATTAACGTCTACAGTAGGCTTCTTTATCGATTAGGAATATAATGTATAATATAAAATAATATAATGTAATACATAAGTTAATATAATATAATATAATTAAATATATTTCGAGAATTGATTTATCTTTTTTTCTTTCTCGCTTTTATGACGATTTTTAGGCCGTATTTGAGCTAATGTGTATCATGTAAAGTGCATTTTTTTTTGTTTTGTTTTGTATACATGTATGTATGTGTAAATATATATGCATGCGTTCAAATTGAATTAATGATCGTTAAAAATAAGCTGATTAATTAATTAAATTTCTTATTTCGATCATATACTTAGCAATTATCTTCAGCGATATAATAATAGTAATAATAATAATAATAATAAATAATAATAATTTGAATGATATAATAAATGAATTAAAGGGAGAGAGAGATTGTCACGTTTAAGTATTTTTAGAGGTTAGAATAAATCGTGTACATGTGTTATATAAGTATATATGTTTTGTATATATGTACGTAAGATACAGATATGTATAGGATAATTAGTATTTGAATTTTCTGTTTTGCATTTCATTTTCTATCATCTTTCGTACATTATTTTCATTGAAGTTTTTGTTTTGTCAATATTATAGTTCACTTTCCATTGTTCTTACATTCATATAAGAAATACCATACATTCCTTTTAGTTATATAAGGAGGGAAAAAATGTGACAATTAATTTCTTAGCAGCACATTCTCATTAGCAATAATTAGCTAAGAAATTCTTTCAAAAATATTTTCTTTCGATATTTTCTATTTCAAACGCAAAGCGTTACCGCCACCGTCGCCATTTTGGTGACGTATACATACAATTAATAATGATAATAATTATATCTCTCTTTTATTTTCTCTTTTCTTTTTTGTATTCATCCTTCTCTTTCTCTTTTACTTATTTTTTCTTTTCCATCTTTAAACTTTTTCATATATTTAACATCAGTTTAGATTATATTACATATTATTCGTTTCATTCTTACACGTACATATATAATATTGTTTTTCTTTTTTTATATTTATATATTTATATGTATACATATATATTTATATATTTAATTTTTTATTTTTATTAATTGTATATGTATATTAATACGTGTAATGTTTTTCTTTTTTTTTTTAAAGATTTTTCTTTTTCTTTCTATCTTTCTCTTGAATTAATATATATATAGGTATATATATATATATTCGATTGTCAAAGTCAATACAGCGTTCATTTTATTTTCAACACTTTTATGTATTTATATGTATTAATCATTATTACCTATCCTCTTTTTATTTCTTTCATTTATACTTTAATTTTTGTCTTTTTTTTTGTTTCTTTTTTATCTTTAGATGAAATGTAATAGTAATAGTATAATAGAATAGTTAATAATTATAGTAATAGATAATAGTGCAAACCTGAGGTGGTTATGCTCGATTGTAAAGAGTCTAGGCCATTCCGTTGATCATGAAAATGTGATTTAATAATTGTTATAAAAAATGAAAAGAATAGTTATATATATATATATAGATCATTTGTTAAAGAGTTATGAAGCGAGGAACGAAGAATTAGGCAATTTTTTTGTTCATCTTATTCTTTAAAGAGATTAATTGAAGTATTGAAAATGGCCGATAGATAGTGAACTTGATTTTTGTTAATTTATACAAGTGGTTCCCAAACTTTTTTATCCTACTGCTCCCTCTTTCCAGAAAAAATATTACTTAGCGCCCCCTGGAAATTAATTTTTTTTTAAATTTACTCTTTTTAAATCGTTACGGCACCCACCAGAGGGCAGTAGCGTTCACTTTGGGAATCACTGATCTATACAATTCTACATATAAATTATTAAATGAAATTGAAATTTTCTAATTTTCATTGAAAAAAAAAAAGATCTTTTTCCGTTTTCTTCTCAATAATAATTATTTTAAAAATATTTATCTATACTATTTAATGATTGCATCTGAACATATGCAGTTTCAAACTTCGTCGGTAATGTAGTTTGCAAGTATCACAAGTAGGTAAATTTCTACGATAGGTATATATATATTTATATATATATATACAAGTACGAGAATTGATTCTTATATTTATGTACGAATGGATAGCATTTTATAGGGGCTTAAAAAGATTTCTAATTGATAAATGACACTTTTAAAACTACACTATCGACATAGCATGAAATATTGCCTGCTATCAGGCGCGCGCGACCTATCATAAATAAAAACAAAATCGATAAACAAGAAAGAAAACAAATATAAATGATTAATATAAGATACTCTTAAGCTATAGTAATTGATTATACAATACTGAACATTATTTTAGAACGAACTTTTTGATAATAATTAATAATTCATGCGATTGATATTCGATTAAATGAAATTCATCTTTTATCGTTCAATATTGTTTTAAAATTCGTTTTTTTTTCACGAATATCATGTTCTATGTGATTCCTATGAAAAAAGAATACTTAATAGGATCGCATGTTTTTTTAAAAATATAATTAATATAAATTATCTCTATTGTTCTTTCGCATAATAATAATGTTAGGTCTACCAGAAAATTTTGTCTGTTTAAACAAACATTAGTTCAATTTTTCGTCACTAGGGGTCAGGCCCTATTTCTTAAAATGGAATATACAAATTGCCAACATGTTGACAAAAGTTCAAAAGTAATTCAATTAATTAATTGTTCAAATTATGAATAATTTATTATTTTATTTTTAAAATGGACTTTTATATTTCGGTAGACCTAATATAT